AATAGTAACAACAGCAAGCAAAGAAAAATATTTAAACACATCATATGCAGATTGATAAAAATGAAAGGTAAAGAGAATGTTTAAAAGGCATTTGGGGGGGAGTTATTATAGGCAGATGTAATGATAAGAATTATAGCAGACTTCACTTCAGAAAGTATGCAAGCCAGTGACAATGTAGTGATACCTTTAAAGTACTCAGAGAAAAAAATGAACTAAGCCTGAATTCTATCGGTAGCAAATTAACTTTAAAAAAAATTAATCTTGTATTTTTTTACATTACCTATTAGTCCCTTATACTTCCCTTCCTTCAGCAATCACCACACTGTTGTCCATGTCCATGAGTCCATTTCCTTTTTACTCAGTCCCTCTACCCTCTCACCTCCCCTTCTACTAGCTGTCATCCTGCTCTCCATCTATGAGTCTGTCCCCATTTTCCTTGTTAGTTCAGTTTTTTCATTAGATTCCATGTATGAGTGAAATCACATGGTATTTGTCTTTCTTTGACTGGCTTATTTCACTTAGCCTAATGTTCTCCAGGTCCATCTATACTGTCACAAGGGGTACAATTTTTTTTTTATGGCTAAGTACTATTTCATTGTGCAAATGTTCCATAGTTTTATCCACTCATCTAGTGATGGACACTTGGGCTGCTTCCATATCTTGGTGATTATAAATCACGTTGCAGTGAACATAGGGGTGCTCATGTTCTTTTGAATTAGTGTTTTAGGTTCCTTTGTATATATCCCCAGAAGTGGGATCACTGGGTCAAAAGGCAGATCCATTTTTAATTTGTTAAGGTATCTCCATACTGTTTCCATAGTGGGCGTACCAGTCTGCATTCCCACCAACAGTGCACTAGAATTCCCTTTTTTCCACATCCTCACTAGTACTTGTTGTTTGTTGATTTATTAAAGGTAGCCATTCTGACAGGTGTGAGGTGATATCTCATTGTGGTTTTAATTTGCATCTCTCTGATGGCTAATGATGCTGAACATCCTTTTATATATCTATTGGCCGTCTATATATCCTCCTTGGAGAAGTGTCTATTCAGGTCCTTTGCCCATTTTTTAATTGGGTTGTTTGGTTTTTTGGTGTTGATTTTTGTAAGTACTGTATAAATTTTGGATATTAATGCCTTTTCAGATGTATTGGTGAATATGTTCACCCATTCTGTGGGTTGTCTTTTTATTTTGTTGATGATTTGTAGTGATATCTTTAAAGTACTCAGAGGAAAGTGAATCAAGCCCAAATTCTGTCAGCAGCAAATTATCTTTCAAAAATGAAAGCAAAGTAATTTTTTTTTTAGCCAAACAAAAGCTGACATAATCCATTGCCCTCACACCTATGTATGGAAAATAAAAGGAAATTTTTTCTACAGAAGGAATATCATAGGAGATAGACTCTTACATGCATGAAGAAACTATGAGCTTGGGAACAGAAAAATTAAAATAATTATAAAACTACTTTTTCCCTTTATTTTTAAATCCTCATTTTTTTTAGATTGTACTTGACTTTTTAAAGGCATACAGTGTGATAATGTAACATACATATATATGCTGAAACTATCATATCTATCACTTCACATAGTTACCATTTTGCACACGCATGTGTGTGTGGTAAGAACACTCAGGCTTGCTCTTTTAGCAAATTTCAAGTATACATACAATACAGTATTATTAACTGAAGTTGCCATATTGTATGTTAGCTTCCTGAACTTGTTCATCTTATAACTGCAAGTTTGTTCCTTTTGACCAACATGTCCCATTTCCCCTGTGTTCTAGCCCCTTGAAACTATATTAATGTATTTAGTGATATGCTTTGATTTAAACTTCTCTGTTGCTGTTGTTTTCTACTTGTCTCATTAATTTTTGACCCTCTTTCCTGATTTTCTTCCTTCTTCTTGGTTAGGTATTTTTGGTATTATGATTTATTTTCCCTCTTCATTTACTTGAATCTAACATTTTTATTTATTTATTTTTTTATTTAGTCATTGTGTGTGTTATTTCTGGGGTTTACAATATACATCCTTAACTTATCATGATTTACTTTGAATAATACATCATCTTACATATAATTTAAAAATCTTATGACAGTATAATACAGTTTATCTCCTCTTTTTTGATATTGTTGGCATATGCTCCACTTAATACACCTGTTTTTAAATCCTAAAATATGCTATTGTTTGTGCTTTGACCATTTAATGGTATTTTAAAATTCAAGGAAAAATGCAGGTCTTTATACTCACTCATATATTAGCCCCTTTTAGGCCTTCTCATTCCTTCCTAGGTTACCACTGGTCCCTTTTTCCTTCATTGTGGAGAATTTGTTTTAGCATTTCTTCTAGTGTATATCTGCCGGTATCATATTTTCTTAGGTTTTCTTTGTCTAAATATTTTTTATCTTTGTTTTCAAAAATATATTTTTCAAGGTGTAGAATTCTATGTTGACAGTCCTCCCTCTCCCTCCACTTTAAAGATGTCAGCCCACCGTCCGCTTGCACTGTGTCCGGAGAGAAATGTGTCGTTGCCCTCATTGTTATTTCTCTGAATGTGTTGTCTTTTCTCTGGTTACCTTGAGACTTTCTCTTTATCTCTATAATTTAGGGTTCAACTGTGATGGTCCTGTGTGTTGTTTTATTTGCATGAATACTGTTTGGGGTGTGCTGAACTTCTTGCATCTGTCGTTTGAATTGTACCAGGTTTGGAGATGATTTTGCTGATGTGTTTCCTGTCTCACTTTTTTCTCCTTCTTCTTCTGTGACTCCTAGATGCTTGATAAGTCATTCTAATTTCATCATTACTTAAATGAACTGAATGTCTCAGTTTTAATTAGTTTTAAATTACTTGTGATTTCAAATGCCATTGCAGAAGTCTCTTTGTTCTTAAGTCCGACACTGAAATTCCAAAGCTTCTGTCCTGGGGCTTATCTGTGATCTTAACAGTATTTGAGCGAGGCTTGGTTTCAGCTTTAGTTTTTGCTGCTTTGGATTGAATTTCAGTATAGCCCTGGAACCTAAATCCCTTGCAAAATCTGCAAGATTTCTGATTTCTAGCACTGCCTCCACCGTTTCTTATGTAACAGAACTTTTTAAGGAAAGAATTGTTGGGTCAGTATGTTTATTTTTGCTTGGGGGCTCTTCCAAGTTTCCAATCTGCAATATTAGCCCACACTGCTAAAGACTTAGCTGATTTCTCTTCATCCCACCGAAGCCTCTCAGCCGATGACTCTTACTCCCTCATATATACCTACCCAGAGCAGGTATGGGCCTGAGATGTGAAAGTGGCTGGTACTCTTTGCTCACCTTTGAAGGCCTTGTTCTCGTGTGCACTTTAGTTCATTTACACAGTACACTTCATTGACATTTAAGGAAAATACAGCTTTTAGCTTAGACCTAGCTTTCTTGTTGTTACAAAGGTGGTGATAGACTTTCTTGACCTTCTACATCACATCTAAAAGGGGAACTTCTGTTCTTCTTAAAGCATAATAGATATATGTAATAAGCACAGGATGCCATGAGGGTGATTAACATCACAGTCACCAGATTTTCGGGGCAACTGTGTTAATCATTATTACAGCAACCTGTGTTCGTTCGTGGCCCATATCACAACTGATATGACATAATCAGGACTTTCCTACATGGAAGCTGAGCCATGACTGTTTTGTGCACGTTGCGATCTGAGTATTCTGCTGACACAGTGCCTAGCGTCTTTTGTGTATGGAGTATTTCAATTCAGTAATGACTTTGGAAAGGGTGGCAGTGGGCTGCAAAGTACTGGTCAGTTAAATATGGCTCTACATGGGCTCCATAAAAATATTTTTGTGTATCTTTTTTCCTAACTGATAATGGCCTTGCATTTTATAGTTTTATTTATTTCTAATATTTTTCTTTTCCACATAGCATGACAATGCAGCTTGCCTATTATGTATTTAGAATTTAAGATTTTTAATTCAACTGTACTAAGCTTGTGATTTCCATCTGCAGAAAGAGAAATTAGATAAAATTTGTGACCATTGTCCACAAGCAATAAATTATTGACAAAGAACTGTTTACACATCCTTGTTTAGTTAGTTCTTCATATGTTTAAACAAGTATCGTTATAATAGTAACCTTATTATTGAAGAACTTTTTGTCTCAAAAGGATACCTTTTGTAGAAAGCCATCCTGGGTGATGTTTTCATGGGCTCATAAAGGATGTACAGGTCTTGAATTTAGTCAGTTGGTTGCAAGACTGTTTTCTTTTTAAACTGCACATAAAAATAGCTTTGGCATAATGTTCTTTATATTTAGGTTTCTTTACTGAATAGAAAATGTCTTTATGATTACTCTTGGGATAGTAAGTGGGATTTTAAAACACATAAGTGGGATTTTAAAACATGCATGCAACATTAAACTACTGGCTTGAAACACTTATTTTGGAATGAGATAAAAATAGACATTATATGGAAATGGATAATCTATAGACAGAGGTATCCTTTTTTAGGGACTGTTACCAGCTAATTATGTAGGAAGTCTACAGAGAGATACCAGGTTGGAAAATTATCAATATTAGTCTATGAAGGAACTTAGAAGTATGGAAGAAATAATGGTTTTAGGATGAGGAATCATGCTGGGGAATTCTTGAAGGAAGAGTGCAGCACAGCATGGAAATATTGTGGGCTTTTGAGCTAGACTGCCTGTGTGAAAAGCCTTTTTTTTGGCTCTGCACTCACTGTGTGACCTTGAGCAAGTTACTTAATTTTTCTGTGCCTCCATTTTTTCATCTGTATGGACAATAATAACTATTTCATATGTTTATTGTGAAGGTTAAATAAATTTTATTTTGATTTACTTTGATTTATTAAAGTACTTAGAATAATTCCTGGTGCACAAATGTTATTTGTGGCTGCCATTATTTATTATTATTATTTTGTTGTTATTACTATTATTAGAAGTCTCACCTTATTTGTTTGCAAAATAATTCTGCTACCTGGTATAAGTAACTATTGACACTTTTTTTCAGCTCAACTGAAGTTGATGACATGATACGAAAATCTACAAACCTGTTGCTAACCAGGACTCTGAGCAACTCTCTACAGAATGTTATTAAAAGGAAGAACATTGGACTTACTGAGGTAATGCTGCTTTTAATGGAGGCAGCCATGGCAACATGTCAACAGATGTCCTAGGCTCTGTGGTTTATTTATGAATTTATTATGACTTTCTGTATAGTTCACCATGCTCTTCCAGGTGGACCCCTAATGGTGAAAGAGCAAAATAACTGTCTTGTGTTTTTCTTTGGTCACCTTGAGGAAATCCATTATTAGTTTTTGAAAGGCACTTTCTCTCTCTCTCTCTCACGTTGTTTTCACTCGCTGAACGGGTTTTCCTTTCTGAACTAGTTGGATTAAATTTGTTTTATTTGCCATTGATTATATGAACAAAATTGTTGCAGAATACAGTCAACATCAGGTTTCTATCCAAATGAATGCAGTGAGATATAGCATATAATGTGAGATCATATTTTGCCTGCAGAGATCATTGATACCACAGATATTGGCACTCGTAGGCCTTGATTGATGTTAGCCTTAGCTTTTGTTTTTGAGATTCCTCATGTACATGTGTGGTGAATTACTCTTTACCAGCTGTAAGTCTGGGGCTTTGGGACTGAGGAGACCTGAGGGAAAGGCAGTCATCACCCGTCAGTGAAAGCTTATGCAGTCTCACAAAGAGAGGAGGGACATTGTGCATATGTCGGGAACAGTATCCTGACAAAATGAAGATTTGGAGCACTGGCACGAAGTCCTAAAATTAACAAAGATGTGAAGTTTCCTTTCTCTTGGAACCTAGGATTACATGGGAGCCTCAACCGGCCACTTTATGGTAATTATAGTGCCAAAAGTGAGTGCTTGGAGGGACTTTTTTTTCCACAGGGGAAGAGAAAGGCTGTTGGCCATCTGTTTAACCTGTAGAGGTGGTGTAGTTTGAAAGGCACTTGCTCTAGGAAAACCTGACATTTTCAGATATATACTGTCAAGGATTATAGTGAAAGTCAGTGAAGAGTTAATGACACTGACCCGCAGGTAAAGACAGCTGGAAGCCAGGTGAGCCTCTACTTCTGTTTTGAAATTATTCTTTTTTCCCTATGTTAAGATACAAAAAAATTATAATGTGGGGCATTGGCAGTGATTGAATTCTACTTATAACAAACTTTTTTTTTCCCATTGATTATCACATTTGACATTAGTTAGAACAGTTTGTTGATTTTGCAGAACTTCCTTTTTATTGTTGGGTATAGAAATAATTAGTTATTTATTTTGTGTGTCTGATAATAGGCTAACCTTGTGATCAGGAAGGCTATAGAAAAAACAAAGTTGGAGCGAACATTGGTCCTGCTTTTGTCAGATTGTGCTGTTCCCCTTTTCTGAATCCCAAGTAGGGCAGGCAGTATATTATTTATTTTGTGTACTGTCTCTACATTATAACCCTTGATATAATTCTTCTTACACCATTCCATTTAGTAGTCTCTTAAAACGTCATTTTAAACAAGCATAGAAGGAACATGGTGTGAAAGACACAGCTTTGGCCTCAGAAGACTCTTGAGTTTAGTTGTGGTTGTGCTGTTGATTTATTGTGGCATCTTAAGAGATAGACCTGAATTCTTACTTCTTTGGTTCTTCTGATTCCATTGTGATAGGAAGAAGCAGTAGGAGCTTATCAAAGAAGTATATCATAGTTCTTGGCACTGTTTAAATGAAAGCTAAATGCTCTTCCTAAATCATTGGATTTCTTTATTATCAGTATCTTTGCATGTAAATGAAGGACTATCCACAGGCATTTCTTTTGGTGGTTATGGTGGTGTGTGCATGTGTAGACACACACCCAGTGATTTTTTTCATCACCAACTGATAAATATTTGAATAATTGTATTACTTACTTTTGGAAAGAGAAGATGTTATAGCCTCCTTTACAGTTAGCTGAAGTCAGTGCACACCTGAATCATCATTACAATAGGCAGCATTGGTAGGACAGTTTGTGTTCTGTATTCTTCAAAGTCCAGTCACAAACGCCATCTCATTTAGCACAGTAACATCTGAAGCAGTCTGGGCACATGTTATTATTCCCATTTTTGTAGAAGACATGTGATTAAAGTTTAATGAGATGGCCCAAGGTCATATAGCTAGCAAAATGATAGAAGTGGGACCTAAGTGTAGGTTGTCGTTTTCCCCAAACTTACTCACTTTTACTAATGTACTGCCTTTCACATTGACTTACTATTTCATCGTAACATGATAGAGACTTTTCTAGGAGGTCCACAAAAACATGGAAATTGTTCTTATTAGAGACGGTTTTGTGACAGGGAAGGACTTCCACTAAAACAACAGAAGTATTTATAAGTACACAAAGGTCAGAATTCTGTTTCAGGTTGTCAGACAATTCCTTTAGGATTTACAAATTCATATAAGCTGATGTCTGTCTGTTCGTCTTTTCTTAAGGTGACCTGGTATAGAATCTCTTCTTTTTTTCTGTCCATATGCTCTAACCTTTTATCTGCACACTGTATTTCTTGCTTTTTTTTATGGCTTCTTTGCTTCCCTATGTTGAGTCAGCTCAACATTACCGTTTAGTAACTTGAATGTCTTCCTTTCTGAGGTCTCAAGTGACTATCCTTAGTTCATTCAGCAGGTACTGCTGTTTTCCTCAGGCTGTTTTTTCCAGGTCTTTGGGAAGAAGGGAAGTTGAGCAGTGTTTGAGAGTACACATTCTAAAGCAGCCTGCCTGGGTTCCAGTTCTAGTTCTGACATTAACAGATGTGTTCTTTGGCATATTACTTGGTTGTATGTAAAAAAGAGGGACAATGATAGCATGTATTTCATAGAATTGTTGTCAGGATTAACATGTAAAGTGCTTAGAACAGTTCCTGGTACATAGTAAATACTCAATGCATATTGTCAGTTATTAAGATAGAGGTCTGACTCTGGCCAGGTACTCAGTTGATTAGAGTGTTGTCCTGATATGCCAAGGTTGCAGGTTCAATCCTGGTCAGGGCACGTAGAAGAATCAACCAATGAATACATAAATAAGTAGAACAACAAATTGATGTTTCTCTCTCTATCTCAAATCAATTAAAAAGAAAGAAATAGGTCTAGGCAAGTAATGATTGTCAGGTCTGGTACCAAGATGTAATTTTTCAATTAAGAGAAGTCAGATTAGAACAAGATGCCCTGTTAAGACAAATAATTTGTTTATTAACTTTACAATATTTATTGAGTTCTTATTATGTGAAAGGCACTGATGTAAATCCTAAGGATAAACAAGTGAACAACAAGAACAACAACAAAAGGGATCCTTGCTTTTACTCGAATGGCATAAAACAAATAATAAAAAGTAAACCATCTAGTGTGTTAAAAGATGGTGAATGTGATATAGGAAGAGAAAGAACCTAGGTTAAGGAAATCAGGTGTCTGGTGGAGGTTCAAGGGTGATTTTATTAAAAACAGCAACATCTTGATGACAAGTTGTAATTTAGGGGAAAGAACATTCTTGACAGAGGTTAGAACTGGTGGAAAGGTCTGAAGGAAGTTATTACCAATTTAAGGGGATAATATGGAAGGGTAGCTGGAATGGAGTGAGCAAGGGGAAGAAAAGCAGGAGATTAGATTAGCAAGGTACCAGGCGTTCATGGTAGGCCATTGTAAAGTGTTTGACTTTTATTTTGAGGGAATTGGAATGATGGCAGCATTTTCACTAGTGACATGATCTGACATATTTCAAAAGGATTGCTTTGACTGTAGGGAGACTTCCAGTCAAGATGGTGGCATAAGTAAACATAGCTCACCTCCTCACAAAACCACATCAAAATGACAACTAAAATATAGAACAACCATTACCCAGAACTGTCAGAAATTGAGTTGAATGGAAGTCTGGAAAGGATGGAATTAGAGAAACCACATCCATGCAGACTGCTAGGAGGGGAGGACACTCGGAACAGGCTAGTCCCACACCCATGTGTGATGGATAGAAAATCAGGAGGGATATCTCAGGAGCAAGGAGTCCCAGCCTCACCCTAGCCCCCTCAGCCCAGGGTGCCAGTACCTGGAAGATAAGTCCCCATAAATTCTGGCTGCAAAACCCCGTAGGAATTTAGTGGGTGGAAGAAACTTCTAGAGTCCCAAGCAGGTCCCCTTAAAGAACCCACACATGGACTTACTCAGACTCACTCTGTCTGAGCAACAGCATGGGATAGCAGCTTGAAAGACACCAGTGGCATGCAGGGAGGAACTGAAGTGTCTGACATTAAGGTGGGACCTGGGGGTATCTTTCTCTCTGACAGGAAGGTAGGCAGAGGCTGTTGTGCCTTTTGTGAGCCCTCCCCCTACAAAGCCACAGAGCTGGCAGGTGTGTGCCATATCTGAGACTCCACCAAACTGGCTAACACTGTTTGTCCCAACCTGGAGATCCCCTGAGACTCCCTCCCACCAGACTTACCAGCCCACTCAAGCTGTTAACAGAGACTTTTCCATGTGCATGGCTGGTCTTGGCTCATGCTTCACAACTTCCTAAATCCTGTCAATTAAGCAACAGGCAGCCTCAGTATGCCCCACCTGCAACCCCCCACCTCTTGCTAATTGGCCCCAGGCCTGGCACTAGTAGCAGCTGCCTAGATTCACACCTAGTCTTTGTTCAGGTGATCAAGGTTACTATTATCAGTGTTAAGTTGTGTTGCTAGCAAGTACCTTTGATGCCATGTGATGAGAAGGCACTTCATCTCTGTGGTCTTCCTTCTAAAACCCATGACCTCAGTCTAACCATGAGGAAAACACTAAACAAACCCAAATTTAAGTACATTCTACAAAATACCCGACTAGTATTCATCAAAACTGTCAGGGTCATCAAACACAAAGTCTGAGAAACTGTCACAGAGCACAGGAGGTAAGGGGGAGATGTTTCAACTAAATGTAATGCAAGATCTTAGATGGAATCCTGAAAAAGGTAAAGAATATTAGGGAAAAACAAATGAAATGGGAATATAGTGTCTTGTTCAGTTAATAGTAATGTACCAATGTTGGTTCCTAGTTCTGGCAAATGTATTCTAGTAACATAAGGTGTTAACAGTAGGGAGAACTGAGTGTGG